CTCCCCCCTCCTGTCAGGGAGTTGCAGAGAGTGAGGAGGTCTCCCCTGAGCCTCCTCTTCTCCAGGCTGAACAGCCCCAGCTCCCTCAGCCTCTCCTCACAGCACTTGTGCTCCAGTCCCTTCCCCAGCCTCGTTGCTCTCCTCTGGACCTGCTCCAGCCCCTCAATGTCCTTCCTGAGCTGAGGGCCCAGAACTGGACACAGCACTCCAGGGGTGGCCTCACCAGCGCTGAGTCCAGGGGCAGAATCACTTCCTTGGACCTGTTGGCCACACTGTTCCTGATCCAGGCCAGGATCCATTGGCCTTCTTGGCCACCTGGGCACACTCTGGCTCCTGTTCAGCTTCCTGTCCATCCACACTCCCAGCTCCCTGATGGACTGAGGCAAACACCAGCTCAGGAGTATGGGCTGGGTTCAAGTGGTCACAAGTGAAATGGTTTTTCCTCCTGCTTTCTCCCAAAGGAAGCTGACAGCTGCCTCCTTAAACTCTCCAGACACAGTCATTGTGTGTTTATCCCAAAGCAGCAGTTTGTTTGTTTTCTTGTCAGAATTTGTGCCTGACCTTGGATCAGCTCAGCTGGTGGGGGACCCGAGAAAGAGCCAGAAAGCAGTTTTGGCTTTTGATACACTTCCAAGTTGCTTTTGTATCACCTTTATCAGGGTTATGTTTGTGTAACCACAAAGCATTACAGAAACTTTATCTGGTGTTTCAGGGCCCTGCATCTCTGCTGGTGAGCTCTGAGAGGGGGTGGGGAAGGAATCACAATCTGCTTTTGTTCAGAATTTGTGACGGAAGCTCCATTGTGCTGCAGCTACAATGCTGATACAATCACTGTGAGTGGTAAATGTATTGTCAGGGATCCTTAATCTCTGACAGGAATCAGCAAAAAGAGGCAACATTTATTTCAGTGAATTTAGTTAGCGGGGTAAGGGAAGGAATGAGCAATTTTTTGCCTCAGGATGGAGACTTGGTAAGCAAGTACATACCTCAGAGTGTTGTGGGCATGTGTTCAGGACTGTCAAAGTGGCAGTTCCTCAGATTAAAATATGCTGAGGACAGCAGAGAACTCCTCCAGTCAGGGAAAATCTTCCAAGGAGCTCAGCTCACTGCTCATAGTGACTCTTTCTGGACACAGATGCTCTGAAGGACAATGGCAATTTTGAGACTGCTCCTTATCACCAGCACAATACTGTGAGAAGTCTGTTCCAACAACACTGTGTTGCAGTTGAAGGTTGATAAGTCTTTGTTCCTGGCTATTTGAGGTTCCAGAGACCACAAGTATGACATCTCTCGGAAGATAAGTTTGTGTGGGGAAACAAGAGTAACTGTGTTGATAAAAATTGTATTTCACGTTACATCTCAAAACATTCGGTCTGTTTTGGGTATAGAGGAAAGTCTGGTGTTTCCTTTGATAGGACCTTGGGGTAGTTAATTCTTATTGACAGGCATTTCTGTTAAAAAGAAATAAAAATCAAACTCATAATGTGGGTGTTTTTTTTAGCATTCAGCAGTCAGAAATGTCTGCTATCCTAAAACTTTCAGCTGAGGATTTTCATTTTTGTTTTGTAACACATATCACTGTCTACTAACTTATGCTGCCTCTTAAATTCTGCTGTATTTTATAGTCAAAGACTGATCTCCTACAGGCTTGCAGTTAACTTTCTTGGATCTCTGTGTATTTAAAATAATTTACATAAGCAAAGATTAAGTGGTTATAATTTTCAAAGATGCAAGATTAGTGGCTGGAGGTTGCTGCTGCCAGATTTGCCAGACAGACTTAATGGCTGCAAGAGAACAGTCTTGAAGAATTTAAGGTGTTAGAAGTTAGAGACACCTTCTTCCTATCTGGAATAAATAGGACTGCACTCAACATGAACCCCCATTTTCTCTGGGGGTGTGTGGGGGAATGATATTTAAGCCTTTCAGTTTGTTTGGTTCATCCATCCCACATTTCCAGAGTTCACTCTTCAAGAGCAAGAGGTTCCTGTGGGTATTTACTGTGGTGGTGTTTATTCAGCACGAGTGGGTGTTGGCTCTGAGCTGAGATATGCCTGTCACACAGGAAGCTGAGCTATAACCAGTAACAAAGCTCTAATCAGAACTTTGGAACCAGATATGTTTTTATTTTGTTAAAACAGCTTGCCTGCTTTGATGCTGTCACAGACACTTTCCTATAGAAAGTTCTCTGGAAATAGTGTAAGAAAAAAAAAAATCTTGTGACACTTTCACCAAAGGAAGTCAGTGTGATTCCACAATTGGTATTTTTTCACAGCCAACAGACATTTCTCTTTGCATCTAAGTTTTCTTGGACACTGAAAAAAAAATGTTAATCTCCTCAAATGTTGCTAAATATGTGTGGGGTTTTTTTCCATATGTCCTGCCTCCCCCATAGAAAATTTTCTTAAAACAGTCAGCCTTCAGCAGTAGTAGTTTGAGAATCACACTTGTCTCAAGAGCTGCTGCTGCCCAGCTGGTGGATCCATATTTGCTGTGTTTAAACTCTTAAAGTGGAATGTGCATTTAACTCCAAATACATGCTCCTCTTTTCCAAAGCTTATCTGTGATTTAAGTCAAAGTTTAGAGCCATTTCTCACTGTGCCTCTACTCCTGGGGTAGTTGTATTCCTGTAGAAGTCTGGGATATGGTATGTTATATATATATATATATATATATATATATTCTTCTGCTATCTGTACAGTCCCTAATACCAGTTTTCTTATGTCCTTTTCTTAGACAAGTCACTCTTCTTTCCTTATACCTATAATTAGACCAAAATATTTTCTCATTGTTTTAATTGCCTGTAAGCTACTAGAAGAAAACATCACTTGCTCCCCAGAGCTTTCCCACTAATATCTCTTGCCATAGCAGGAAATGAGTGTTTTAAACAGCCTCAGGTGGTGGTCTGGGTTCCTGGCTTTGTGCTTGCCATGGGAGACCTTCCCTGCTTTGGTTCTTTAAATTCCTCCTGTGCCTGGCTGTTTTTTTTGGCTGCCTGGTGTCCCTGGCTGGTTTCTGGCTGTCACAGGGGAACCCAAATGTGAAAGGCAGTTGCAAAACCAGCGAGAAGCAGCTGAAGTGTGAGACAGTGCAGCTCTAGGAGAGTCCCAAGCTGGGATTGTGTGGGTGAACCGGGAAAGAAGGTGGAAGACTTGGGAGTGAGGGAAGCTGTCTGAGTTCTTCTGTGCTGTAAATCTGATAGGGAAGATTTCCCTCTCAGCACACAGATGTTGTTGTGTGTCACTGGGAGTGAAACCAGGCTCAGGCTGTTCCAGAACTTGGTCTGTACGAGCACAAGTCTCCGTCAGGAATCATAGAATCATAGAATCATAGAATAGGTTGGGTTGGAAAAGACCTCCAAGATCATCAAGTCCAACCCCTGATCCAACTCCAATTACTATATCATGGCACTAAGGGCCACATCCAATCTCTTTTTAAAAACCTCCAGGGATGGTGAATCCACCACCTCTCTGGGTAGGCCGTTCCAATGCCTGATACAAAATGTGTTTTAGTCCTTCAGCAAGGACTGAGGGCAAATCAAACTGTTCACTGTCATGTCCACTGTCACTGATTTCCCGGTGCTCAACTCTCTGGATTAGTCTCCTGAAGAAGTTCATTTGATTCCTTCATTTTGTGCATCCCAAGTAACTCAGCCCTGCTCCAGTGGAATGGGAAGAACAGGAGTTTGGGTCAGGCTGGTTCCACACATTCACTGCAGCTCTGCCCTGCTCCTGCAAACACTGCTTTAAATTCTGCCACTCTGGGCTTTTAGCTGTTCCTGTGCACATGTGATCTGTCCCATTTAATCAGTTCATTCCAGATCTACCCTGACTTCAGTGGTTTCTGTTGATCTCATGGAAATGCTCATCTTTAATGGGTCTGGTGTATTATTAAAGGTTATGCTGAAAGTTAGAAAAAAAAAAAGGCGTGTTTTTGGAATATCAAAATCTCAATTATGAAGTTCAAGGAGGGTACAATGCTTTAAAATAAGTGTGTAAAAATAATCACACTATCAGTTGTCACCTGCAGATCTCAGACTTCCAAGAAGAAACCAAGGTCTTGTAAATAAAGTATGTGTAGGTAGATGACTTGTACTCTTACATTGTGTGAGTTTTTTCTTTCAAATATTCATCTACTTACACCAATAGCTAAGATATTTAATTTGTCTGGATGTTAAAACTGGAGAAACTCTTTTTACCTTGGAACAAGAGCATTTGGGTAGATAAGAACAAACTTGTCCTTTGTGGTACAGAAAAACCTCTTCTCCTTTGGGGTTTTTCTCTCCTACACAGATATTATTTGCTTTTAAGGATTTGTTTTCACTTTAAAGATTTGAATTAGGAATTTTATTCTTTCCCCCACTCTTGAATCCTTTGAACAGGTACTACACTATTAGAAACTCTCATTGCCTTCTGCTTTCTCTTCTGCTTCCTGTGTGTTTCACTGGAATTTAACAGCAGGAGAACCAGAAACCTAAACCTTAACTTTTTGTACTTTGATATTCCATGTAACTGTGGAGAGTTTGACAGAAGAGGAAGTGTGTGTGTGTGTGTGTGCATGTTTATAGAAAGAGGATGTGAAAGTAATAGTGCTGGGATACTCTGGGAGGGAGCTGGGGTTGGGAGTTACCATCTGCTGCCTTTTTGAGGCTCTGGAGTTAACTTGGTGACCTGTATTCCATTCTACTACAGCCATGTAAAGTTTTGGTTACATTACACATTCAAGTGGATATTAAAATAATTAAATCTCCATTAAATGAATTACTGTAGCCCTAAGGTACTTCTTTTTCCCCCTCAAACATCTGGGAAATATCTGGGGTAGGGCTTTAAGTTGGAAACTCAGTAATTTGGTCATAGCTAAGCAAAAATGGAAGAGCCTGTGCATCATCTTACTGTGGGAATTATGATGTGTTTTCTACCCAAGTGGAGAGCATGACCATCACTGGGTTAATTGTCCTGTTGAGTTTGCTTTTCAAAAACAGGAGCTTTGTTCTTTTTTTGCAGCCACTGATCTTCTGTTGGCTTGGAATCCCATTTGCCTGGGCCTGGTAGAGGGAGTCATTGGTAAAGTTCAGCTTCATACAGGTACGTGGTTAGTTCTGTTTTGATGGGGTTTTTTTCTGTTTTTTTTTTTTTTTTAACTTATTTTGTTTACTGCTAAATTTGTTTTAAAGTCTGTGGTATTACAAATAATACTGCATAGCTCAGATGGAATGATGTAGTATTCTATACACTGGAGGAATACTCCTCAAATATATGAACTTGTCAGAGTGATTATATTATAATTGCAGATGCAAATTCCCCCTATTCTCCAGTGTGTGTGTTTTGGTTTGACACTGTCATGTAAAAATATAGAACTGCATTTGCAAATAGTAGAAACTTGTATTTGAAGTCCTATCTGAGGCTCCATGTGAGATTTATAAAATTCTTAAGCCCTTTTTGAATAATCCTTTCGAGGAGATTCTTGTTGTTCTGCTGTGGTACAAGAACTAATGATGGAAGTTTTAACAAAAGGATAATTGAATAGCATTGAATAATAGTATGGAATTATATAGCATTGAATTTTCAATGCTATATAAAAACCTGAAGCATAATTGCCACGTTGGTAGATGAATTTTGGAAAGCAAAAGGAACACTTTAAACTTGTTTGTAGGTAAATGACAGAGCTATAAAATTAAAGCAGGTGTAGAATTCATTGTTATTTTAATGATAAGCCTGTTTCTAACTGATAGTAGTAGTGTTTTCCTTTAAAATAAGGTCAGTGCTCCTTTAGCTTTATCAGCTGCAAATCCCTGTAGCCATAATAAATATTTATTTTGTTATAAACCAGCTGATACTTCTGCCAGTGGAGCTCTGGATATCTATTTCCTGGCAGGTAGGAAAGGTAGCCATAAACACTTGCTGTGTGCCATTCTTTTGGGGAGTGCATTTCAAGTAGTGCCTGGCAATATGATCAATACAGGTAAAGTTTCCAGCGTGTTCCAGGAGAGCAGGATGTGCTGGAATGGATCAGATGTTTGTGTTCTGCTGAATAGAAACGGCTGAGTCAGGGTGGCAGTGTCACAAATGGAAAATAGGGACTGGAACACACCAGACTGGTTCTGGGAATCACATGGCTCTGGATTTACTGTGACCCCAGGTCCTGCTCCTGAGAGTCATGGTTCAGAGCCCATCTCTCCATGAAGTTCATGATCACATCCTCTTTCCAGCTGCATCTCTCCATCTTTTTTGAGTTTCACCTGATATTTTTGTCTGTGCTCGTTCCACAGAGCTGTTTAGGTTTGGCTCCCCACCAAGTCCCCAAATCCTGCTGAAAGCCCCCTCCCCTTATATGAAGGGAAGAGGGGAAAAGGAACCAAAAGACCCAAAACAAACTGAACTAAAGCAGTATATATATATATATATATATATTTAAACTTATATACAATTGCAAAAAAAACCCTATTTACATATACGAAAGAGAAAACCCCAACACCCCACAACCAAAAGAGAAACCCCGATATACACAGATATGCACAGCTAATAAAGAACTAACAAACCAAAATTTTAATACTTTCCTCAAGAAGAGAGGAAAAGGAACCAAAAGACCCGAAATAAACTGAACTAAAGCAGTATATGTATATATATGTTTAGACTTATATACAATTGCAAAAAAAACCCTGTTTACATATAAGAAAGAGAAAACCCCAACACCTCACACCAAAACAGAAACCCTGATATACGCAGATATACACAGCTAATAAAGAACTAACAAACCAAAATTTTAATGCTTTCCTCAAGAAGAGGGGAAAAGGAACCAAAAGACCTGAAATAAACTGAACTAAAGCAGTGTATATATATATATATATATATTTAAATTTATATACAATTGCAAAAAAACCCCCTGTTTACATATAAGAAAGAGAAAACCCCAACACCCCACAACCAAAACAGAAAACCCGATATTTGCAGATATGCACAGCTAATAAAGAACTAACAAACCAAAATGTTAATGCTTTCCTCAAGAAGAGAGGAAAAGGAACCAAAAGACCTGGAATAAACTGAACTAAAATATATATATATATATATTTTTATATACAATTGCAAAAAAACCCAACTATTTACATATAAGAAAGAGAAAACCCCAACAACCCCACAACCAAAACAGAAAACCCGATATACACAGCTAATAAAGAACTAACAAACCAAAATTTTAATACTTTCCTCAAGAAGAGAGGAAAAGGAACCAAAAGACCCAAAATAAACTGAACTAAAGCAGTATATGTATATATATGTTTAGACTTATATACAATTGCAAAAAAACCCCTGTTTACATATAAGAAAGAGAAAACCCCAGCACCCCACAACCAAAACAGAAAACCCAATATATCCAGATATACACAGCTAATAAAGAACTAACAAACCAAAATGTTAATGCTTTCCACAAGAAGAGGGGAAAAGGAACCAAAAGACCCGAAATAAACTGAACTAAAGCAGTATATTTATATATATATGTATATTTAAACTTATATACAATTGCAAAAAAAACCCCTGTTTACATATAAGAAAAAGAAAACCCCAACACCTCACACCAAAACAGAAAACCTGATATGGGCAGATATGCACAGCTAATAAAGAACTAACAAACCAAAATGTTAGTGCTTTCCTCAAGAAGAGGGGAAAAGGAACCAAAAGACCTGGAATAAACTGAACTAAAGCAGTATATTTATATATATATATATATTTACATATATTTTAAACCAAGCACTTGGGTGCACAAAAGCCTTGCCCCCCTTCTCTCCAGGGAGTCTGGTATAAAAGCCTTTGAAGGGGGGAGACCTCAAGTGCTTTTTGGAAGGTTTTAGTATATTATTGCAACTGAATGCCCTTGCATGTGTGCTTATTGTGAGGTGCTTCCTCTGCTTATGAAATCCGAGTTGAAACTTTCCCAGCTGTGACACCTGAACAGGTGTCAGCTTGCCGTTGTCATGCAAATTAAGATTATCAGGTAATAAGCCTGATATCTGCTCTCCTTTCCATGTGTCCCATGGAGCTGTTGCATCAATTCTGCTCATCCAGGCATTCCACCAGCTGCTGCTGAGGGCAGGGGGAGGGTTTTGTTTGGTCTCTGCCTTGTCCAGGTGACACCACCACAAACTGTTCATTGACTGTTCTTCTTGTAGATATTCTGGTATTTGGTAGATATCCTGGTATTTAGTGGATATTCTGGTACTTATCTTTTTATCTTGTTGTACATATTTTGGTATTTAGTGGATATTCTGGTACTTATCTTTTTATCTTGTTGTAGATATTCTGGTATTTAGTAGATATTCTGGTATTTATCTGCCCTGCAAACGATGTTTATTTTCTACCATTAAACATGTGAAGAAAGAGAGCCTCCAGCTATTTGTCCTTCTCTCCTGCTGCCTTGACCTTGCTGACATTTGCTGATAACTTCTCCCTTAGGTGCAGCCACAACAAGGGGCTGAGATGTCTCACAGAGGTCTCTTGAAGCCTGTTGTTGTCAATGAACTCCCACTTGATCATTCTTGTTGTTCTGCTGTGGTACAAGAACTAATGATGGAAGTTTTAACAAAAAAATAAGGCTTGAATTCTCAACCTGAAGCATAATTGCTACGTTGGTAGATGAATTTTGGAAAGCAAAAGGAACACTTGGAACTTGTTTGTAGGTAAATGACAGAGCTATAAAATTAAAGCAGGTGTAGAATTCATTGTTATTTTAATGATAAGCCTGTTTCTGACTGATGCTGGACAACATCAAGTGTGGTTTGATGTTTTCCTCTGGCCGAATCACCCAGCAGTCTGTAACAGTAACCTGTCTTCATTACTTATTCTTGTATCAATCTTTGTCACCTGGAAACTTTATCAGCAGGAGTTGTATAAATATTTAACATTGCAGGACCAGACTTGGAGCTCTGTGCTGCAGGGGCTGGGTGAAATGTTTTTTTCACAGACCTGACCTGCGACAGGAGGACTCGCTGCTCTGATTTCTTCTCCCCTGCCCTCAGGTTATTAACATCAGAAAACTTAATTTGAAGTTCATTTGGTGAACAGGAGTCCTGGATGGGCTTGTCCTACTCAGAACCTTGTTATTAGCTACTATTGGAAAGGAATATTGATGTGTTTTAAAAATGCTTAGCACATCCTGACTAATGCTGGAAACTTTAAATGCCTTTTTGGGTGTTGAAGTTGCTACCAGTAAAGCTGTCACTAAACCTGTGTGCATTTTAATGTCTTGGGCATAGATCCTTATATGTTCTTGAAAGATTTGCTCATGGCAGAAATGCTGGAGTGGTCTAACACAACCTTGAAATGTCCCTGTAACCAACCTTGGGCTGGCTGTAAATTTAGCATTGGAACACCCTTGTAACCAGGGATGGGATTTAATTTACTCTTAATCTTACAGGTTTTATTGCTTGACTTGTACAAAAGAATCTGTAGGGCAGCTGCTGCCAGGGAAGCAGTCTCATAGGAACCAGCAAGCCAATATTACATGGCTTATTTTTTTAATTCTTTAAAGAATTTTTGGCATGAGTCAGTTGTATAACTGAACATAACTGTACACTCACACTGGAGAGGAAAGTCTAGTGAAAGTACCATTTGGTTCTTCCCCAAACTGAATTTCCTTAAACATGCAGATGCTTTTTTTTCTTTTTTTTTTTTTTGTGAGGAGGGAATTCCAACCCAAACAATAAAACCTTGACTGAATATTGGAATATAAGGATGTGATTGCTTACCATTTTCTGGCCCTTCCTAAGATAACTTGTGAGAAAATGCAGAGTAACAATGGGAATAGCAGGAAAAGGATTTTAGGGTGTATTGTGGAGCTGTTACTGAAGCAGATCACTGCACATTTACTTGGTAAAGGTGCACAATTAATTCTATTTTTGCATGATCTTCCCAGATAGAGGCCAGCGCATCTCTGGCATAAAGTGTCTCCTTTACAGGATATTAATTTTGTTTTGTGGTCCAGGCAGTGCAGATTAATACCCAACATAATTGAAGCTGCTCAATTCCTTTCTAATTCTGTTTTGGGATTTTGATGAAAGAAGGTTGTGTTACTTTTTGTTAGGATAAAAAGTAGATCCACTACAATGGTAATGGTAGCCTGAAATGCAATCACTGGTGATCAGAGACTTCTCAGCAAGTTGATCAAACATTGTAGTGCAAGAATACGCTCAGTTGTATATCCAGCTACAACCAAAATTGGATTCCTTAGCCAGTTCCAGCAACTTCCACTTGACTCCTTCATTGCTGCCCCAGTTTTCCTATTTTTGGTCAAAGGACACTCCTTTTAATGCAGTTTAATGTCTCTACTTGTATCCATTCTGTGAGTTTTTCCAGTGCTGGTTAATTAAGGCCCAGGTTAAATGCTGCTGCCAAGGTTCCACAGACTCTGTAAACAGGAGGGAAGTTCTTCCTTCCCTATCCCCAGGAAAGGAAAGCTTTTTTTGTCAGCATGCCTCTGAATCTTGATAGAAACAACTGTTCAGCATCTGAAATCTCTCCAGTGATATGGAACTGAACTTCCAGCAGCTCAAAGCATTCTTTCTGCATGCAGCCAATTTTTAAGTTGTTCAAGTAACAGAAAGGATGAAAGTGGTAGCACAGAATTTCTTGGCTAACATCGAAATACTTGTAAAAAGCAGCATTTTTAGTAAACTCCTGTACAGTTTAAGAAAAGCTGCTGCAAAAGCATTTGGGGGAATCTAAATGCTGGATTGTTTGGGAAGTGTTAGAGAAAAACAGCAGTGCTGTGCTGACAGTGTTGAAGCAACAGAGGAACTGAATTTCCATTTCAGTGCAGAATGGGAGGTAATAGCTTCCTTTAGATACAGTATTTTAAGGTAGTTGTTGCCATCTGCTCTGCCACAGCTCATGAAACACTACAAATGAACATTTGATTTTGAGAGATGATTTCAAACATGCTCTCTCCTGGAATGACACACAGTTGGGGTGTTCTGTGCACCCCATACCTCACACACTGAGTGGGCAATTGAGTTCTGTGGAACTGCCTTTTTTTTTATTGTGCTGCAGAAGCACAAATTCTGTGCTGGGATTCAGTTATTTAGATATTGCTGGTGATTATAATGTGCTGCTTTTATGGCTATTGTTGAAGCTTTTACTTCAGGGCATACTTTATCTGCATAATTACTTCCTGACTGTTTGCTTTTGATCTGCTGGGGAATTCTTGTTTTCTTTGAGTGTTCTGTGGCTCTGGCTATAATACAAAGAGTTTTGAAATGCACACCAGGATGACATTTGAGTGCATTTTAAAAGATGACAAAGGGGTGCAGAACTGCTTGGTTTATTGAGCTCTTAAGTTCTTGTTTGCTGCTGCCAGGGTTTGTCAATATAAGGTCAAGTGAGGAGTAGGCAGAGATTTTTCTTTTCCATTTTTTTTTTACTATGGCATATCTGCTCAAAAATACCTTTACCTTTTATATATTTCCAATAGAGCTCTTCTGGTTAATTCACTGGAGCTCTAGAGGGTCTCCTTGCTTAAAAGAGTATCTGTTTTGTCTGACTGGTGTTCTCACAGGAGAAAGTTATGTGGCCAACCTTCCATAGGTGGGGAATAGGTGAGATTATAGGACTCCCCAACAGGAATATCTGTCTGGATGCCCTATTGTATTACCCTTCTCTTAAGCTTGGATTGCCCTGGGCTTCCAGAGACTGTTTTTTTGCCTACTAAAAAGCAATTTAGGAAAGGGCAGGCCTTCTTTTTGGGTGAAGTGATGGGCATCTGTATCTGTTGCAGCATTTCAGTTTCTCCTTTTTAAAAGGATTTTCTTATTCATTGGTCTGTTCACTTGCACAGAACCTGTCCTGTTTTCCTCAACTTCCTTTTTCTTATTTCCATCTTACCCCTGTGGTTGCTGGAGGCAAAGGCAGGTGTTCCCCAAGTCAAGGTGTTCCCCAAGTCAAGGTGTTCCCCAAGTCATGTTCCCTCTACCTGTACAGAAAAGCTGTTCCAGGACCTGAAATTTTTAAAGACTTCTTAATGCCCAACATAAGCAAGTCTTTTTTTTCCTAAAGATAGTGATGTAGAATCAAAACAAGAAGTGGAGTGTCACAGCACACTGTTTGCAATGACTATTCCTTTTCTTCAGATAAAAGGCACTGCTGGGTTTTTCTGTGTTTCTCTTAAGCACTCAGAGGATAAAATGCTGTTTAGAATTTACTGAGCAAGGAAAACAGGCTTTGTATTTGCTCCAAAGCTGCTAAATAGATTTTTCAAAGGCTGTGTATGGTATTCAAAGGCATAATACATGACACAATCTACCATCACAAGTGTGGGAGCATATTCAAGTCTGCCATAGCAGGCTTTTTATGTCTTTACATGAACTTTTCAGTTAAACTCCGTTGGTTTCTTCTCAGCTGGGAGAAATGCTAAGTGTGTATGTTTGTCTTGAAGACTCTCTGTGCCTTTTCCATCTCTCTTAACAGAACTTTTGACTCCTAAAAGCCCAGCATAGGGATTAAAATCCAGGAATGTCCAGGCACTATTCAGCAGTTTATTGCTCTGTTTCCCTATTTCATTGAAGTGTTGATGCTGTAACTGCAAGTGTTGTAAATTAAATGTGTGTATGACATGCACCAGTTACCAATATCTTCATTAATTTTTATCTCATTAGTTTCTCTACCACTTAATATTACTTCAGGAAAGATTCCTGAGGCTTTTAACATATATAAACTGCTTCATGCTGCAGCCTGTGTTTGCCTACCAGATTTCTCAACTCATGAGCCTTGTGATCAGCTGTTACCTGTGTCTGTCTTGTTTGCTGTTTGATGCACAACACAGGATGTAAAGGGAAAATCTTTTAACAGAGGATGTAAAGGGAAAATCTTTTATATTTCTCTGAGCTCCAGCTGTTCTTCTCAAATTTTACTGCCAATGGTGACATTGGTGGGGTTGTGCTCCATCCTAGAGGTTGCTGATGGCTTTACCTCTAATAAGTCTATGAAATAGTTAATCTTATTGTATTACAGGCTGAATAAGTATTTTTTAGAGTTTTTATTTTTTTATTGCAATGAATAATGACAAATCACAGCAATAGTGAATCATCACTCACTGGAGTCTTCTGGTCAAATGGTTCCTGGCAGGGTTTTTACACTGGGGAGAAGCTTCTGGCAAACTTATCAAAGTAAATGCCTGACAAGACAAATAAAAGCATCTACTAATCTTTATTTTTTTTTTCCCAGATTTACCCTGGTGGCTGCTTTTAATTCGTCAGAAAGCTTTGATTGGCAAACTCCCTGGAGATCACGAGGTTTGCAAAATAACAAAGATAGCTGTGATTCCACTCTCTGAGACAGAACCTCAGGATCTGGAGCTGGAGGTATGACAGTGCTCAGGGAATTCTCACCTTCCCCCTTCTGCTTCAATGCAATTTGAACGTGAAATAAAAGTTATTTTTTTTCCTGGTTGTGCTTTTTTAAATAACATTTTTCAATTAAAAGTATTTTTTAAACAGAAATCCCAAGTTTTGCTGTGGAGGGAAGTTACAATAAAACTGTACCTAGATTTCTTAAAGCTTATTGAGAATACAACACTGAACTAGGAGAAAGTTGGGTTTTTTTTTAATAGATGCTCTTGCTCTCATCCCATTTTGGAATCTTAATTCTAGAACTTGGTTATAAATAACCAAGTGAGTAATACCAATTTACACTGGAACTTGGGTGGGAAGTTGAGGTGGGTCTGGATGCTCAAGTCCTGTCAAACTGAGGCAGAAATCCTCACAATCACAGGAGAAAGTGCCTTTTATAAAAAACACAGTAAGAATGAGGCTCTAGGTTGAAACCTGCCTGTTCCCCTGTTTTTCAGAGTGTCTCCCTTAGCTTTGTGAACATCCAAGTCTTGATTTTTGCAGGCTTTAATTAAATTTTTTTTGAGCTTTTTAAAGAGTATCTAATTGTTGGCTTTAATTCAATGTCATTATTTAGCTTTGTAAAAAGCACCACTTTGGGATAAACAAGCCAGAGAAGATAACACAGTCCCCAGATGACACAAAATTTCTGCTGAAGACTCTTACTCAAATTAAATCAAATGTGTCTGCTCCAAATAAGAAGAAGGTAAAGTTTTCTACTGTTTCCTTGGTTTTTTTTCCATAATGTTTACTTTATAATTCCAAGGTTGTGATGGATGATCAAATGGAGTACTAAGACCTTAAATAATTAGTGAAAAACTGCAGAATGTGGAACTACTTGATGCTCAGTTTAATTTTTTTGATTTTATTTAGCTGTGGCAATTCTGTGATTTTTTTTTTGTGTTTTGCAATTACATAATTTTGGCAGAATTGCTGACAGAGTTCCTTCTTACCAGGATTACCTTCTGCAGATTGTTCTGCATAAGCATCTCTTTTACTACATAGAATTAGAGACAAAATTTGGTGCCCAGTTCCTCAGAGAACACCAAGCAATGTCATCAAAATACAATAATGGCTTGGATTAGGAAATCCAAACAATATTTATTAAAATTAGAATGGGTTGGCTGCAATATTTCTTAAACTCTTGAGATTGAAACATCCTACTTAAATGTTCAGCTTCAGAAGTTGAGTGCTTTGAATGGTAAAAGTAATAACATGATATTTTTGAGGATGCTGGCCTTGTTTTTATTATCTGTGCTGGGATTTTTAAGAGCCTGCTCCTCAGTGGAAAGAGTTTGTCCTAGAGAGTTAGAAATAGCATTTAGCAAATATGGCCTGGACTCTTTTTCACTCACAGAGAAATAAAAAAAGCCATTTTTTTTCTTTCAGATTAAAGAAAGCAAAGAGAAAGAGAGGCTGGAGAAGAGATTATTGGAGGAGCTGTTCAAAATGTTCATGGATTCAGACTCCTTTTACTACAGCCAGACCTACGACCTGACCAATTCTGTGCAGAGACAGAGCACGTGTGAGAAAACAAACTTATCCCTGTGGAGAAAAGTGAGTGTGTCCTGTTTGTTTCTTCCATGATGTCTGTGCTCCAGACTTGACTGGTCACACTTTTTACACTTCAATGAAAACATATTTTCTCTGCTGAATTATGCAATGCTGTTAAACTGTAACAGAACTTTGTGCTGGCTTTGACCAGCATCATTTGTGTAAATAATTCAAGTGATTTTAAACCAGAAGCCTCTTTCTTGGTGCCCTCGAACTGCCTCTTTCCATTTTCAAGGTCTTTCAAGGTAACAAAATCTATCCTTTTGTTATAAAAGTGAGCATCTGTCCCATTCTGCTGTATTTTAAGCAGCCTTTACTTAAAAACATAAAACCTGAGGATGGGTGTAGTTGCCAGTGGGTTTGGTTGCTCAGGCAGAATTTTTGGTGAGCTGAAGAACTTGAGCTGATAAAAATACTTTATAAAAACCTTGAGTCAAAATTGCTAAAAGCTTCTATCTAGGAACTTTGCTTTGGAAAACATGTTTAATGGAGGCTCTCCAGAAACACCAGGACAGGCCTCTGGTGCATGACAGGGACCAACTTCAGTGCAAGGAAGAGGAACAAAAGCCTCCAGCAGCGTGACTTGAGCTGAACTGAGCACTTCTGAGAGCTGTGTGTGCACCTGCAGTGAATAAACAACTGAATTTGGGTGCCTGATGTTGCAAAACCTGCCCTTTTTTGTCTTAAACAGGTTGATGACAGATTCTTTTGGAACAAGCACATGATTGAAGATCTCATCAGCATCGAGGTGAGTGTTTTATTTCTAACGTGTGTTTTGAGAATCTTTCTTTAGTTTGAGTTGAAATGTTTATTCAAGGGCTCAGGAGTTTGCTTTTAAGAACCTACTTGGCAGACAGGGCAGGATTAGGACTGTGCCTTCTTCCCCCAGCCTTCTACTTAGCCTGTGATCATTGCTAATAAATGAACTTCAACTGAATTTAAAATTTTACTACTATAAAACAACGTAGAATAACTTGGTGTGATATTTTTGTGCTGACTTCTGAAGGTGAATTTAAGTTGTGTTCATCTGTGCAATGGATTATCCCTGGACAGAGCTGAACTTGATAGTAAGAAAGAGCCAGAAAAGAAGTAACTCTGAATTCCCAAGTTTTCTTGAGATAAGAATTTTGTTTTCCATAGTGGAGAGCAGTGTTTGCTCCTTAAACAGAGTAGCTGATCAATGTAAAACCAGTGTAGAACAAGTTGTTCTGAACAGCTATTCAGAGCAAAGAAAACATTTTCCTGGCTAAGAAACACTTAAAGAAACATAGAACCACCATTCTTTCTTCAATATATGATCTTCCTTCATTTTAAACTGAACTTGGAGGTAAAGGATTAAGTGACTAAAGATGACAGCAGACATCTTGCTTCATGCCCTGCATCTTTTTCATTAATAATTTAACATAATCAAATGGTTATGGAGTTACATCAGATTAAACCTGGATCCTCTAATAATTTGTGTATGATGCAGGAGTTTAACTAGTTGTATTTTTCATGTTTTAAGATATAAATGATGTAACCTTGGGGAAAGAGCTGACCATTGGGGAGTCTGGATCTCAATTCTATTTAAGAAATTGATGTTTTAGGGTGGCAGAACCCTGAACCACTTGATTTGAATGCTAAGTTGACCCATATTGAAGCTTATGCTGGTATGTTTTGCTGAGAACAGGTTAACAACTACCTACCTATATAAATGTGATATAGAATATGCCCACATAGAGGTTATAAAACTACCTAAAAGCAGAAACTAGGTAATAAGTTACCTGTATTTCCTGTTCTATCTGAACTGATTATCTTTGACATGGGAAATTACTACTTTAAGCTTTTTAATGTGCTTAAACATCAGATATAATGTTGTATTGAAAACTCTCTTTGGGGAAACTTGAAAAAAATAATTTATTTTTTAAAAGAAATTAAAAAAATTTTTTCTTCTGTCCATCTTAGATAGCTGAGAGCAGAGGAGGGATGATGATGATGATGATTCAGTGTGCTCCATCTCCACAGAAAAATCTAAAGTTGTTTTCTTTCTTCCTCCTGATTTAAAAGCCCCACAACTATTGGAGGAAAAATGCTGGTACCACTCACAGAAATAAGACAAGGATATAGCAAACATTTCTTAAAACACAAAAAACATGAGAAGCAGTTGTTTTATAAACATGAGAAATGGCAGAAATAATTGTGGGTGATGCAGAACCAACAGAAATAAATGTTTTTTTGTGACCTTCAGAATGCTGAAGTGGACTTCTGGATCATCCCCATCATTCAAGGATTTGTGCAGATTGAAGAACTCGTAGTAAACTACAGTGAATCTTCTGATGATGATAAGAGCAGTCCTGAAACTCCTCCCCAGGAATCCACCTGTGTGGATGATGTTCATCCCACCTTCCTGGTGGCGCTGATTTCCCGCCGGAGTCGGCACAGAGCTGGTAGGAAAACCCAGGTCAAGGTTTTGGGATTGTTCCTGAGCACTGGAGAGGGATCCTTTGGCCTTGCTGCTGCTGGAATAAGTCAAATAAGGTGCAAGGCAAACATAATTCTTCCCTGTCCTTCGGATCTCAGAAAGAAAGATTGAATCACTCTACAGTTCAACTCTGGCTTTTCAGTTTATCTGATTTTTATTGAGATATTCTCCATTGTGTCCAACTGCTTTCCTACACAGTCAGGTTTTCAACATGTCAAAAAACCAAGAAAAAAACCCATGGAAAGCTTACCCTGCTATGGGACTGCCCTTTGTACCACTGCTCACTTTTATTTAATTCAGTTCCCAGCAACATTATTTGTCAGAACAACTTGGAGTAAATACTTCAGAGTTTGAGGGTAGTATCTAGTTTACAGTATGCCTTTTTAATACTAAATTGTTACACAGAGACAGGAACTGAATTGCAGAGGGGAAATTTGTTATTCATTTGCTTTTACTGTTAATGTCACTGTGCTCAGTTGATTTCTAGTCCAGAACACAGAGTGTGTAGAACCTTCTCTCTTGGTTGTTTTGATAAATTGATGCAATATTTTGAAGAATAGTTATAGGATTGTGTGTTTAGTTATAGGATTGTGTGTTTGATTAATTCTGTAGCACATACTTTTAGCCAAGAGTTCGATATGTCTTTATTTCTGAAATACTATAGTTAACTCCCCCCCAAAAAACCCCAAAACAGGGGAAACACTGATTTAAAAGCTAAAGATACTTCTGTGTTAAGTATACTTATTTTTTTTATTTATTTGTGAATGATTAAGTTTGGGGTTTGGTGTAAGAGCCACTATTGATGGCAGGGCATAAGTGAAGGGTATCTGATGCTTTAGTCTAAAAGCCCCTGTCTGATAAAAGGCTTTGACAATCTCCCTGTAAAGGTCTCTAAGTAGGTATTTTACACTCTTTTCCCTTCCCTGTTTCTCACCTCTTCCCTTCCTTCCCACAGTCCTTAGATAGTGCTGTTGAGCCCTTTTTCCAGCCCTCTTATTCCTTCCCTGTCCTTTGCTCCTTCCTGAGCTAGTGATGTCCTCTCCTTTGAGAAAAGGATCTGCAAACACTTCTCTGTTCAATGAGCAGCTCAGGGCTGCCTGGGCATAAAACTGGGCAGCCAGGAGTGCATTAACTCTTCTTAATCTGCAAGTTAAAACAAGGAGGGGGAATCTTCTGTTTTGTGGGACTTCCTGGGCTGCTTTTGGGATCTCTGAGAGGTCCAGTAAAAGTGGCCTTTTAGGCTCATGGAAATTTTGAGCACTAAAGTAAAACTTTATGCTAAATGTGACAGAACAGGAAGAAATGTATCATTTATGGTGGACTAGAGATTATCTTTGACTTTGTGGTGCTGCCTGTAGTATGCCAGTAAATGAACTTTATCCATATAGTCAAAAATAACTTTTGAGGAATAAACCAGGATGGGAGTGACTTCTACCACTGATGATGGATTTTGGCTGGAGCCCTTGTCCTGTGTTAGTGTTGCCAAAAACAGCAACAAGAGTTACTAATGTTTAAGTCAAGTTCTGAAATATGCCCTGACCGTTTCCTTCCTCCCAGGAATGCGGTACAAAAGGAGAGGTGTGGATAAAAATGGGAACGTGGCAAATTACGTGGAGACAGAGCAGCTGATTCATGTTCACAACCACACTCTTTCCTACATCCAAACCCGAGGCTCTGTGCCTGTTTTCTGGAGCCAAGTTGGATACAGATACAACCCCCGGCCCCGCCTGGACAAGAGTAAGTGTTTGGGGTGGGATACCTGAGGATCAGGGTTCCCTTGGGAAGAGATGCTTATGTGTGTGGTGCACAGGGAAAGGGATTAAGCAGGCTTATTAAAAATTCAATTTTAGTCCCATCTTCTCTGCACAAAAAGCAAAATTGAAGAGTGGTGTTTGTACACTGTGGTGGAACAGCAATGTCAAAGTTGAGCAAACTGATGAAATACCTTTGAAAGGAATTTTGTACAATGTGTCTTCAGTGAAGCTGTCTTGGTTTTCTAGAGCACAGATTTGGGCACAATTTAATACATCAAACAGGACTTGACTTGCTGCTGAACTGTCTCTGTTTCTAACACTGCTGTGCCTTGTAGGTGAGAGTGAAACTGTGCCCTGTTTTCGTGCACACTTTGAAGAGCAGCTGAAAAACTACAAAAAGCAGGTGAGTGCTACGTGATAAAATAGTCATCTCATGAAAATGCAGGGGATGAAGGTTAATGCTTTTAGTTTGTTTTTCTTCCTGATGTGTTGTGGTTTTTTAGAAGCTTGTTGACAGTTTGTAAGGTTGGTACGTAAATAGAATTTTAATAGGTTTTTCAAGTGTCTGTAAGTAAACTCTGAAATCAATAACTTGTGGGAATGTGTAAACCCTACTTCTGTGTACCTGTCCTGTGAATTCAGAGCTTCTCTGGATTAGAGTTTGTGTAGGCAGGTAACTGTTGGAGCTTATTTGTCTTGGGTACAATCTAACAAAGACTATACTTTCAGCAAGATTACCTGCAAACCTTTTAACTCCTGAGCTGTTTGTTATTGCATGGTGTGTATATCTGAGCAAGCTGTGGAGCAGATGACAGATGTTAACTAATTGGACTTTTGAACAGGTTATTATTAACTTGGTGGATCAAACAGGCAGAGAGAAGATCATTGGAGATGCTTACCTTAAACAAGTTCTTCTCTACAACAATCCAAACCTGACTTATGTTTCATTTGACTTCCATGAGCACTGGTAAGGAACCTTTGAAAAATGACCCTTTGCATCTTCTTCTATTAGCATGAGAGGGGAGGAGAAAACATTGTTATTATTATTATTATTGTGATTTCTATTTCTGCATGAAGCACTTTTAAACAGGAATAATACATTTGGTAAACTAAAGCACTGTAAAATTTTAAGTTTGGGTAAGTTTGTCGTCTTGTGTCCCCGACCTGTTAAATTTGCAGTTATTTATTGGGCAAAGCTTGATTGTCACACATTCTAAGCAAGAGAGTTTCCTTAGACATGCTGTGAATGTAAAGCTGTGCCTGACCTGCTTTTTCAAACTGTGTGGCTTTCTGCTTTTAATTCTTCTCCACTTCTGTTTCTCTTTATTTTTTCTATAGTAATACCATAGGTTCTTTCAGGACCCTGTGCTGGTTTTTCACTATAAAATACCCCAGATTTTAATTTAATCCAGCACAAGCAGTGGCTGTTTTCCTGACTCCACTCTGCCATGCCCTGGTGCAGTGCTCACCAAGCATTTAATCTGTCCCCCAGGCCTGTATTTCTCCTGCTTCCCTCTGTGTGGGAGTCAATACAGGCTCTAAACTGTTTTAATCTTCATTTCCAAACGTAATCTAGGGATTGCATCTGGCCTGGCAGAGCTTTGCTGCCTCAATAAGTGTGTCATTAGTAGATATTGGAGAGGGGTGGGGGGAAGGGAAACCCCCCTCAAAATTAGTGATGACCTGGAGACTCCTCTAGACCTGTTGGTTCCCTGAATTGATTTGATGCTTTATCTCTTGTTTGAAGGAGCTTCTGTTTTCATTCCTTCACTTTTCTCCTAAAAACTTCTGTGGTGACCAGGGCTGTTTCTTTTTTGCCCAGTGAGCGTGAGTGAGTCAAGAACAATCCCAAAAAACAACCTGGTGGGGTGGAGGGAAGAGGGGGGGTGATATATGTGGGTGTTTTTTCTGTACAGTCACTGGTGAAACAGGGCTCATCCTCCCCATCTCCAATCCACAGTCACTTTTTTTGAGACTGTGACTAAGGTGAGAACAGAATGTTGCACATGATGCTGCACATTTTTATTCTTCCTTATGGAAGCAGCATTAAAAATGCAAATTCTCGAGAATTTAACTATTTTTTAAATCCTCTTTCCTTGGGTTTAATGGTGAACTGTACTTTAGAAAAGTTCTGAATATTGGCTCCTGTTTCAAGTTTGCTGCAGGAGAGAATGCTTGTCTCTCCCACTCAGTCAAAACACTATGTCTGTGAACATTACAAATAAGATAAAATAATTAAAGTCACTGCTCTAATTCAAACTAACTTTTGTGAAATTCTGCATTTTAGCCGAGGAATGAAGTTTGAAAATGTTCAAACACTGACTGATGCCATTCATGATATTATTCTGGACATGAAGTGGTGCTGGTAGGTACTTCACTCTTCTTAGACCAGTATGGAAAATTGGTAAAAAAAAAAAACCAAAACAACAAAAAAACCAAAAAAACACCCCAACTAACAGTAGATATTTGGAGGCCTTAATCTTGTCATAACTGGTATGCTTTATATTTCTTTTCTGGTGCCCAGCTTGTGTGTCACACTTTGTGTTCTGAAGTGTTGGTGCTCTGGACATGTAACAAAAAATTCTCAGATGCTGATTCCTGCCCAGGGCTTACTTCATTTAACACTTTCAGGGTTTCTTATATTTAATGTGAAACACCCTGTATTTGACCCACAAACCCTAGAACACCAACCAACCTTATGTTGAAAGCAGTAGGTGTGTTTGACCTTTGCTTTGTGCTGATTAAAGGGAATTAAATGAATGTGCTGGAGTCTTCAATCAGTTACTCTGATCTCACTGTTCATTTTTATTGGCTTCTGTATCTGAAATTAAATGCCTTTTCCCTTGAGAGCTTGTATTATATATGCAAGAGTTGGGATGCAATTAGATGCTGAATTCAAGTTTATGGCCCCACTAGGATTTATTTGATATCCAGCCTAGATTAAAGTGATTGGAACAAGAGGAGTTAATTCAGGGTGGGGTGTGGCTGGGTGACGAGTGCAACTATAAATAGTGTAAAACCTCCTACTGTTTATAGAGGCTGATGAATTACACTGCATTTTAAGTGTCTCAGTGTGCTTTTGTTCTCTTCCTGTTGCAAGGGTTGACCAGGCTGGAGTGATCTGTAAACAGGAGGGAATTTTTCGGGTGAACTGCATGGACTGCCTGGATCGGACCAACGTGGTGCAGGCTGCCATTGCCAGGGTGGTCATGGAACAGCAGGCATGTAAAGTGTGCTTTTTGTCAAGTACCTCAGAACTTCATTGTTATTCACAGAGAAATCTGTGGGTTTGAAAAATGCTAAACTAACCTCTACTGAAAAGTGTTGTGAAACACTTGGAGAGCTCTGAAGCTGAAAGGAATGACATGTACAAATACAAAGCTGGAAATCACTGTAGAGCAGTGATGCCTGGTGTCCTCCTTCAGAAAGGAGGTGACTGACTGTCCACATCTTGGAGAGGATTGCCTTGTTTTGATTTAGTAATTTTAGGCAGTAATAGAAAGTTTAAAAACAAAACATCACGCCCCCAAATCCCCCCCTGAAATGAGAGATTAAGGGACTAAAATCCAGCTAGAAGTTGGATGCTACTTTAGCTGCTTTGATGCAGAAAGCAGGGAGATTAGTTGTCTCTTCTGTGTTTAAAGGAATAATTAATTGATGATGTTAATATCCCTGATTGCTGTGACTGTTGTGGTGTGGATGTTAGGGAAGGGATTTCCAAGCAGACTGAGGGTCCTTCCTTTAGTCACGTTCCTCTTTGCCCTGCCCCCTGTTTGCTTTTTGCTATGGAATCTGTGATTGTCTTCCCTTGTCAAGACTTCATAAATACAGTTCTGTTAGAGACTTAATGCAGATTAATAGTCCTGGAACTGAACTTTAGGAGGCTCAGTTACAGCCCAGCCCCAAATGAGCAAACCTGACTGTTTAAAGGGAAGGAGAAAGGACAAAGTGGGTCCTTCAATAGGATGAAGAGTGAGTGGCTCTGACCATTGTATCTGGCAGTTCTTGTTTGTCATCTGCTGTTCTGGTCTCCTGACCTGGAGTATGGAGGGCAAGGGGAGGGACCTGCAATCCCACAGTTGTTGTTTGGGAACAGGATTTCTCTCTGGGATAACTCTCGAGTTCAAAGGCAACCTTTCAAAATCAAGAGTGTTACAGATGGTTGTGAAGAGGCTTCAGTGATCACTGAAGTATTGGTGATGTGCTGCATGATTCTGGTGGTGTAGCTGAAGTGCCTTGGAATCAATTCATGACAGAGCAGTGCCCTGACCTTTGGAGGGTGAATGACATGGAGTGTGAGACTGAGTATTCCATGTGCCTCACCTTTGCTCTTCCTTGGAGCCACAGCACCTGCTTTATCTCCCCTGGAAACTTTATAGGGCTTTCAAAGTCAATGAACAGCCTTGTATCAATTTTCATCCGACTTGCAAAGAGTGCTTGAGCATTTGGTTTTGGTTGGAAATTTTTTGCCTGTGATCTATTCCAAGTTATCCCTTACTGTTATTCCAAATTAGTGACTGCATTGCAGTTATGGCTGTGCAGCTTTACCAATTCAGTGTCTGCAAAAAGACTAAAGTTTATATTGTACCCAAGGCTTTTATCTTGGGGAAACTGAAGTACTGGTTGTCCTGAAGAGTAAGATATCTCACTTTCAGTATCAATGTTAAACAGTAACTGTCCAAAATGTGCAAGCATTAATAATAAACCAACAAAAGAAGCTGTTTTTTATTTTCAGACCCTTGAGGTCATGAATGCCTTTGCAACAGAAGACATATTAACTTGTTTTTGCATGTTAAAGTTCTGTGATGCCTGTTCTTTTGATGGTTCTCCTTTGAAAAATTTCCTGTATCTTGAGCAATCTACAGTAACTCCAGCTCATTTTTTTTTGATGATTGGCTCCTACATTCATAATTAATATGTTAATGCTGCCTCCAGTGATATGATGCTTAGCAATGAATTAGTGATTCATTGCTAACAATTAATTTACTCTGACAAATCAGCAGAACGAGTCTCTTTTTCAGATCTCACAAAGTTTAACAACCAAACGCTCGGCGAGCGTTTCCATTCCTTTCATCGAGTTCTGACATAGAGAACGACCCTTATCTCAGACTTTTTATTAACACACACATGTCAAATTCCAGCTCAAAAAACTGGGAGTGATGCCCCCTGAGCAGCCTTTGCCCGTGAAGTGCAACAGGATCTACCAGGTGATGTGGGCCAACAACGGCGATGCCATCAGCCGGCAGTACGCCGGCACCGCCGCCCTCAAGGTAACGGGGAAGGGACCCTCCTGCCCTGATGATGATGATGAGGAGGCTGTGACAGGTTTTATGTGCACTGGGAAACCCTTGTCTATGTAATAAAGCCAAATATTCTGCATGGGTTTGTTTTGAAGAGGCCTCGGAGTAGGAGAATGTTTTGTGTCGCGAACCAGAGAATTCCACTTGCCCCCTGTCCCCTGGCACTGCTGGCTGTGTTTTAACTGCATCCTCCTCATGTCTGCAGCAAAGCAGAGCTGAGCTGAGAGTTTAAGATAAATATTAAGCATGACATCCATTTAAATTTTAGCATGGCTGTAGTTACACTTTTAGCACTTCTAAGCAGTTACGGTACTTCAAAAATGCTTGGAGGCTCTGAAGATCAGGATGTGCAGGTAGCAGGGTGATATTAATTACTTATACTTTCTAAAGAATTAATTAGTTGTAATTAGGAAGAATTTCTTTGCAGAGAGGGTGCTCAGCCATTGGAATGGGCTGCCCAGGGAAGTGGTGGATTCTCCCTCCCTGGAGGTTTTTAAGAAGAGACTGGATGTGGCATCAGTGCCATGGGCTGGGAACCACAGCGGGGTTGGATCAAGGGTTGGACTTGATGATCTCTGAGGTCCCTTCCAACCCAGCTGATTCTGTGATTCTATGAATGCAGTCTGTTTACCAAGATCAGGCATGAAACTCTTATTTTTAACTCCTGCTGCTTTGAAAAGTCAGAATTTGAGGTACTTGCTGTGTGTTTAGTCACTGGTGGAACAAATTTTAGTATTCTTTGTATGTGGCATGAGAGAAATCATTATGGTGGAAATGCTTCTGAGATCCCTCTTTAAACCTCTACTGAACTTTGATTAGTTTAGAAAATTGTAAAATCCAGCCTGACATGCTTGTCTTCATTATTTATATTTAACTTTAAATCTGAAGCACAGACCTCCATTTATAGATCTAGATTTTCAGGCCTTCTGTTTGAAGATTTCTCTCTCTGCTATTGAGGTTCATGAATTAAATTCTTTTTAATTGTGGTATTTCTTTCAATTTGGAAGTGAAACACACTTGAAATGTTCTTCAGAGTAGTTGATGTGGCTTTTAGAACTGCTCTGTGCCAGTGCTCAGAGTGTCTCTGAAAATAGAATCCTCTAATGAACTGTAACTACCAAAACAGCTTTTTATTCAAATTCTGAGCCTTCTGTGGCCTAGAAACTGGCTTTTGTTTCTGAGGTTGTGAGGATATGTCCTGTTCTCCTTCAGGATGTTCTGCTTGTCTTGTTCTGGTAGCAAAAACATAAAAGATGAAAATCATTTTTCAGTAGGCTCCAGTCTTCTCTCCTGTTTCAGTGGTGTTCCTTTGGGTTAAAGGCCAAAACATAAAGGGTTTTTTTGAGGTATTCAAACATCACAGTGACTGACATCTTGAATGTTCTACTTTAATATTGGCTGGCATGTAGGTCCAAATTTCTGTTTCCCATTGAATCCTGAATCTGTTAAACACATAAGATTCTCTGCAGAGTCAATGCCAGAAGTAGATGCCCTTTGAAAAATCAGTATTTTCAACTTCTTTATGAAATAGTTACTTGTGGATAGTTTCTGAGCCTCAGAATGCCAAAGCTTTTTGAGCTGAGCCTGCTGCTCTCCAGGTGCATCTGTGCATGATCTGCATGTTCTGTGTGACAGGGGGACTTCACCAGGACTGGGGAGAGGAAGCTGGCAGGGGTGATGAAGGATGGAGTTAATTCTGCCAACAGATACTACTTGAATCGTTTCAGGGATGCTTATAGGCAAGCAGTCATAGGTAAGAGTACAATTTCAACTAAGCTGAACTATGGTATTTAGAAAAGTTCATTAAAATCATCTTGGCTTTATCTTTTGACTGATTTTTTATTTTTTTTTTCATCCTGAAGCTTAAAGGCAGCTTGGGTGTAGATAATGTTCATGTGTGTGTGATGGACACCATAAGAAACAGTGATTCTCCATTTGGAGATCAAACAACACTCAGTTCAGAGGGTTTGCATGCAGTGTGACTTTGTTTTAGCATTAAATGTCTTGTAGTGTCTCTTTTTTTAGGCTAAGTTTATGTAGCAGGTGTCTCTTAAAACATTTTTCACTGAAAGCAGTGTAATACCTACTAAGGCAACATTATATTCAGAAAGACCACCAAGAACATCAGTAAATATGAAACATTGGGAAGGAATTTGCTGTCTATCACTCTTAACTTTCTTTCTTGTTTGGTGTTTTTTGGCTTTCATGTAGATTTGATGCAGGGCATCCCTGTCACAGAGGATCTGTACTCCATATTTACCAAAGAGAAGGAACACGAAGCCCTGCACAAGGAGAGCCTGAGGAGCCACCAGGAGCTGATCAGCCAGCTGCTGCAGAGCTACATGAAGCTGCTCCTGCCAGACGATGAAAAATTCCACGGAGGTTGGGCACTGATTGACTGTGACCCAAGGTGTGTTGGACAGGCAGAATTGCTCAGCTGCTGCTCTGACCTGCCTCTTGCTGCTCATGGGAAATGATTCTGGTGGCTGGGCTGACAGAGCACAAGTGGACAGTTCCACAGGATGACAGGAGTCCTTGAAGGGTTTGAATACTTGCAATTGGAAAAGAAAAGGTCCTCTAAACGTGTGCTTTTCCCAAAGTGCCACAAAAACGGTGCCCCTTTGAAACATCACCTGGAAATGCCTTCAGTCAGTTCATGTTGCCAAAATTGGGGGGTACCACAGAGAGAACTTCCAACCACCCCCAGTTCTAGAAGGGGCTGTTTGAGGAGCTGTTGGTCCTTATTGCTTTATAGGGAAAGTGTGACTTGACTTTGGAGCCAGATTAAATTCTTGGGGAATGAGTCAGCACAGGAAAGTCTAGATTTCTCTTTGTGAAAAGTAGTGGGCATGAACTAACTCCCCTCCTTATCAAGTTCAGAGTTCATTAGCTTGTAAAAGAAAAATAGTGGTGAGATCCTCTGCAGGTTAAACTTCAGCATCTAAAAATAGCAGAGCAGGTTGTTGTGACAGCTATTCAGGGCACAGACTCATCACCTGCACTGAGTCTGAGGTATTTTTCCATTTGTCTGCTGGCATTTTTAATAGATTGAGGGTTTTCTGTTTATTTTTGGACCTTCTGCTGACCTATTTGAGCTATTAGGCAGCTTCAGGTTTGGGAGAGAGTGTTGCTTACATGGATCCACTTATTGTAGGTGATCACACTGTGGCTTGGGAAGTTTGACCCACCTGAGTGGGTTTTTCAGGGACTCTGGTCAGGCAGCAGCACCACACAAGATAATGGGCCATAATCCAAACTTCTTGTTGTAACATGTGTTGAATTCTAAAAGAGTGTCCCCAAAATACACTGGGCAGGGGTTACAGCTCTGCAAATAAAACCTTCTCCCTTGTATTTATTTTTCTTCCCTCTCCTCAGTCTCATTGATGCCACTCACAGGGACGTGGATGTTCTGCTGTTACTTTCCAACTCTGCCTACTATGTGGCCTAGTAAGTCACTGCTTTCTCTTACTATGTGTAGTTTAGTTCTAGGAGCTTTGATTTAGATCAGTAGGAAGCATTAAATTCTGTTTCTTTTCTCCTAGTTATGACGATGAAGTGGACAAGGTGAATCAGTACCAAAGGTTAGGTCTTGAAGCTCTGGAAAAAATAGAAATAGGTAAGAAAATAATCACCCTGTATCTTTTTTGGATGCTCTTGACAATAGCTGAGCCCTCCTCAAAGCATCCTGCAGGTGGATTGAAGCAGCAAGCCTGGATATGGGGCATAAATCCTGAGCAGTTCACCATGACTGGACTTTCTTGCTCCTAACAGATGCCAGAATTATCTGTTCCCTCCCAGGCCTGGCTTTTGCTGCTGTTTGAAATGGAAACTTTGATCACTGCTGGGGTTTGAAAGTTTTCCCTCTTTCAAACTCTTAAAAGAACCAGGGAATCATCAAAACCAATTTCATTATTTATCAAACAACTTGATCAACTTCTGTAATGAGTCACAGGTTTGTGCATTCACTGCTCTCTTTCTTTGATCCAAAAGCAGCACCTGGCTGGGAATTGCACTTTAAATCTGCTTCATAGCTTTTTAAGGCTTCTTTCTCGAGGCTTGATGATAAACATGCTGTTACAAAATCACCTTGTTATGCTCATTTAACTTGGCTATAGAATGTACCAGCTGCAGGCTAAATCCAGCAGCTGCTGCTGAAAGCATTGAAGATGTGATGGCTTTGACTTTTTTGCAGATGAAAAAGAGAGGGAAGAGAGAGAAGGGAGGGAAATTTTGTGCCCCTCTGCTAGAGTTTAACCCTCCATTACACAAGAACCAGTGATTTCATCATCTCCTGACTGCAACTTTCCCTGTGTCTGTGCAATTTCTAAAAATTCAGTGGCAAGGTCTCTTCTTGCACAGCACTGTGGAGATTTGTAACATATCCTGATGTACAGAAACATGATGTAGAGTTGAAACATCTTCATTTGCCACTTGTTTGTTGCTGTAGATATAAGCAGTGCACTGAAGAGAACTGAAAACTTCATTGCATCCACCTGGTAGAAATGGATGAGCTTTCCCTTCAATCCTTGCAAGAGCATTCCCTAAAAAACTGCAGGATGTAGAAGGTGTAAAACTTCTATTTGTTGTAAACCATCAGGCTGGATGATACCAGACATACAGGGAGTCTAATTGCTTTTCTTAAGTAATTGATTGTTTAGTTATTGTGAAAATCTGTCATTTCAAGTGTCTAAAGAAAACATGAAGCTTTTTATGCTGCCAAAGGCTGTCAACAGGTACATGTATTTAGGTGGAGTCTCTGCAGCTTCTCTTTAGTGGTTGGTTAAAGATTTCTAACCTGATTTTTCTCTCAGGGCCTGAGCCTACTCTCTTTGGCAAACCCAAGTTCTCCTGCATGAGGCTGCATTACAAGTACAAAGAGCTGAGTGGGTATTTTCACACCCTCAGAGCTGTGGTGAGAAACCCAGAAGAAGATGGAAAAGGTTTGTTTCGTATGGAAAAGCTTTAGGCATAAAAGTATATTTGGTATCCCGCTGTTTATCTGGGAAACACTTGTTCCATGGCTCTCAAAACTTGTCCTTCTTCAGAAGTTATTCTGATATAATCCAGTTGTGCAGGGTGGGGAACCATAAAAAACCCTCTGTGTGGTTTCCTGGGTGAACATGTGGATGTTACTGTTTTAATAGAAAGAAAAATAAGTTCCAAATGCAGCTTTAAAGCAACATGCCTCTCTAGAACTAGAGACATTTCCCTGTCCAGGTCTTTACTGCTCCAAAACCTTAAAAAATGAAGTTAAAATTAGCTCCTAAAAGAGCTGAAGAAATTGTTTTTTTTTTTTAGTGAAATCAGTGTCTGGAAACATTCTTGCTTGTTGTTTAACTAAATTAAATGAACACTAATAAAGGGAAAAATATCACTTCTTACCTGGAGCACTGAGTTTTGTCAACAGGGATTAGAATAAATATAATTGCTTTTCTTCTCACAAATGAAGCAGTGTGCCAGTGATTCACTAAGAACCAAGTATTTAGGGATCAAGGAGAGTCTATTCTTTAAGCTTATTTGTAAACTTGAAATCTGAACTGCAACTTGTAGGGTGAAAGAAAAAAAACCCAACCCCCAAACAAACTTAATTATGTTAAAATCAGACTTATTTCTTTGTAGATTGTGGAATATGGGATTTTTAGGGGTGTTTTGAAGGGTCTGACAGGCTGCTGCTTGGATTTCAGACACTCTTCAGTGCATTGCAGAGATGCTGAGGATCACAAAGCAGGCAATGGGATTGGATGTGCCCATCATTGAGAAAAAGCTGGAAAGGTGAGTCCATAAAGGATGGGGACGTTCTGTATCCACTCCTGCTCTTCTCAGGGGCAAAGCACATCATGTGATGCCTGAAAGAAATGTCCTTTACAAAGGACAATGGGGTAGAAGGAAGAGGATGGTCCTGTTTTACCAGTTCAAGTGCCATCTCTTGCATTATTTTGGACACTTGCAGTTCAGACTGTAGGAACTGCTAGAAAATGTGTTGTGTAGCACAGCTGTACTTTGTCAAGCAAAAACAATTCAGGCAGACATTTCAATAACTCTTTTTCTGCACTGGGTTATTGTGGTACTATTTCAGCTTCTTCTCCCAGCTGAGCAGAAAGCGTAGCCAGAAAATCCTGTTATTTTTTACAGGTATTCCAGAGGGAATATTTGCTAAATCTGGCTACTGAATACAGTGTACACAAAGTCAGGGTTACACAAATGAGAAATTCAAATCTATTTTCTTCCAAAGTTAAAGTGCCTGCAGAAACTGGCTGTTCCTTCTTTGGTTACTGTTCTGTATCAACCCTCCTTGATTAGCTTATATGGGTACAATATTATGTAAGGAAAGGTTTAACTTCATTTATTTATGGGAGGAAAGAATAACCTAGTAACTAAATGGAAATAGACTGGAAGACAGTCAATACTTGTTTATTAAAAAAGACTGCTTTGGTTGTACATTAGGGATTTATTTGTCTCTTGCAGGAGGAGCAGTAAACCTCACGAGGACATCATTGGCATTCGGTCTCAGAACAGAGGCTCCCTGGCCCAGGGCAAGAATTATTTGCTCAGCAAGTTCTCCTCCCTCAATCAGAAGGTGAAGCAAACCAAATCCAACGTGAACATGAGCAACCTTCGGAAGCTGGGCAGCTTTGCTAAACCCGAAGTGAAGGTCAATTTTTTAAAGCCAAACCTTAAAGTGAATCTTTGGAAATCGGACAGCAGCCTGGAAACTCTGGAGAATCCGGCGGCAGATCCCAAAGCCCAAAGTGAATCTGACACGGAAGGATCGGATAATGACTCGTTCCATTCCGACGACTTCCTGACTAATTCCAAATCGGACGAGGACACCCAGCTGACGGACTCCCTGGAGAACATGGGCCCCACGGACTATGTGCTTCCCAGCTGTGGCATCATCGCCTCTGCCCCGCGCCTGGGCAGCCGCTCGCAGTCCCTGAGCAGCACGGACATGAGCGTCAGCATTCCCGTCCCCTCCGACGGCCGGGACTCCCAGGCCGGCCGCTCCGACGGCGAGGACATTGCCATGCCTTCTGCTGACAGCTCAGACATGGAGTTTGCCAAGCCCATGGATGTGTACTGCCAGAGGTTTGTGCAGGATGCCCAGAGCAAGGGCTCGGATGTTCTGGAGGCCGAGGTTGGTCCTCAGGAGCTCCATCCCCCAGCGACCCGAACCAGCAGTGACGCGGCCGAGGCCGCACAGACCAGGGCAGAACCCGTGGGAGATGTTCCTTCCAGGCCCTCCAAGCTGGATGTCCCGTCTTCTGAGCCAAATCCTCAGCTCTTGGCTGTTGGTGGGACTGACTTCAGTAAATCCCATAAAAGCCCTGGCTCTGTGTCTGGGAACCCCGAGCCAGGACTCCACACGACTCCCTCTCCCGCCGACGGCGGCGGCAGCAGAGCCGTGTCTCCCTTCGCTAAAATCCGCAGCTCCATGGTCCAGGTTGCAAACATCACCCAGGCAGGATTGACTCAAGGGATTAACTTTGCTGTGGCAAAGGTGCAGAAGAGCCCTGCAGAACCAGAAGCTTTAAATGAAATCAAACAAAAAGAACTGAGGGAAATGTTTACGCAGTGCCAGACGCGGATAATTCAGATCTAGTCGCTGATTCAGGAAGTGTTCTTCTGGTTGTGGCTCTTAATAAAGTACTAAAAAAAAAATGATATCAGGACTCACTGTGGCATGAACAGCTACTGGATACTGGGATCCACAAGAGGTAACTTGTTTACAGGCAATGAGAGGTGCAAATGAATTTGGTTCTGACCAAGCTTCAGAATTCCCTCACGAGGTGAGACACACTGTAAACCCCATATTTAAACAGGTAGCTTAGACACTGGGACCCAAGAAGCATGCTGTCTATCTTACATGTGTTGCACAGTTATTTTTTTTGGAGACTAATTTTGTAGCTCTTCTGAATTATGTAGAAAGTATTTATACTACAAAGGTGATACTGCACTTCTCTGACCTTACTTACCTTGCACTACACCAGCAAAATAACCTACCGGGAAATGACATTTTATTTATTTTTGGACTAGAGTTTTTACTTGTTTTCACTGAGGTTTTAGATGCAGCTTTCTCTGAACTGTGCCTCTACAATGGGAACTGATGAGTTTTTGTTGAATTTAAATACTTTAACGAGGAAGTGAGATTTCTTTGCTATCCTTTTCTTTTCACACATCCTGGAACACTTTCATTAAAGACCCAATCTGAACTATCCGTGATCCTGCAGTGCAGATTTCTTCTGTAGATTGGGTTTTTTTTCCTCCCTTGAGGTGAGGGGAAATGAAGCAAATGCCCTTGAGCTGTTTTGCCCATGTTAAAGCAATTATTTCCTTTTTTCTGAATTCCAAACTCTGCCAGTTTGCTCTAATTTTTTGTGTCTGTGTAAAGCAAGACAAGATCCCTCCCCGTCAGGCCTTGTGTCCCTCTGTGCTATGACTCTTTTGAAGCTATTCTAACTGCCAAGTCCAGACAAGACCTAAAGGAGAAGGCCAGGGTACTGCTCCCTAAGATCAGTGTTAGTTGTGAGCATCTAATCAAGACCAAATTCATTCCCTCCTCCAGCTTTGCAGGATAAAGCTAAGCATCAACTCACGCTGGGATAAAAACTCCCCTTCTCTCCGTGTGTCAAAACCCATCTAAATGCTCTTTCCCAGAATTGCCTTGCCATGCCATGCTAGTCTAGGACATGCTCCAAGAGCTGCTGTAAGGCAGGACCTTCCTGTGCTGTGGTTTGTGCTATAACCACCCTGGCAGCCCCAGTGCCTCCGTGTCTCATCCCTGTGCTGTAGATAATCTGCACGTGGTGTCCCCACAGCCTCCTGTCCTGGGGGTGGGCTAGTTCTGTGTCTTGTAGTGTGTCTGAAACGACTTTATCATCTAACCCTGACAGTCTGAAACTTTGATAAACAAATTTGATTTATTTATTTTATTAAAAAGTGATGTGGGTTTGGGTTGGTTTTTTTTTTTTTTGAGTGTCTATACTTGTGGCGATATTTAAACTTAAACTACTGCTGTATTTTAATGTGAGCAATATACATGAGATATTTTAATAAAAAAAGTGGAATCAAGGGACGGTTTTGGTATGTGATGTTAAGGGAGGTGGTGCTCCAGGGCTGTGGGAGTTTGTTTCAAAGGTGGGTGGTTTTTTTGGGCTTTCTCTGGGTTAGGAGTCACAGAATGGCTGCAGTTGGGAGTGCTGGGGCTCCTCATCCCCCTGCTCAAGCAGGACCATCTGGAGCTGGTTGCCCATAACCATGTCCAGGTGGGTTTGGGGTAGCACAGGATCAGTTAGAAAAGACCCCCAAGATGAGTCCCACTGTTCTCCAGCACTGCCAAGCCCATCACTAACCCCTGGCCCCAAGTGCCACATCCACAGGGCTTTGAACTCCCTCCAGGGATGGGGACTCTGAGCAGCTGCCCATTGTTTGACAGCCCTCTTGGTGAAGAAATTTTTCCTTATATCCAATCTAAACCCCACGTGGTGCAACTTGGGCCCATTTCCTTGTTCTATTTCCTGTTCCTTGGGAGAAGAGACCAACCCTCATCTCCCCCTACCTTCAGCCTCCAAGGATGGAGATTTGAACCCTCTCTGGGCAACCTCTTCTTGTTCTCAGCCACCCCTGTGGTCCAAGTGTGTCCAGAGTTCAGAGGGACCCTCCTGGGGAGGGGACTCCTTAGAAAATGCCTCAGCCTTGGTACTTGTAAAGGTTCTGTACAGGGAGAGGAAATTGCAAAGGCTTTGCTGTTATTTAGGTAGGAGAGAAACCAGTCCCTACAAATCCATGGGGACTTTTAACACAGTCCTGTAGGGCAAAGCAGCTGATAGCTCTAAAGTCCCTCTTGTATTCAAAAAAATATGGCTTAGCCAACAGTCCAGGGCATAGCTTGGGAAAGAATTCCTGAGCTGCTGTATTGGGTCATTGCCTGTTGATCCAAAAGTGTCATGTCACAGAATCACTGAAGGGTTGGAAGGGACTTCAAAGATCATCCAGTTCCACCCCCTGTCATGGGCAGGGACACCTTCCACCAGCCCAGGTTGCTCCAAGCCCCATCCAACCTGGCCTTGGACACTTCCAGGGATGGGGCAGCCACAGCTTCTCTGGGCAACCTGTGCCAGGGCCTCCCCACCCTCACAGGGGAGAATTCCTTCCTAAAATCCAACCTAAACCTGCCCTCTGTGAGTTTAAAGCCATTCGTCCCTGTCCTGTCACAATCCCTCTCCAGCAAAATGTCCTTCCAGCTTATGAACTATCCACTACTTACCTATGGAATACTGGAGATGGCAACATGCACAAAACCATCCTCTAACCCAATTTTGCAACTCTGCATTCCAGCCCTGCTGCCTTTTGAAGAGAGATTTCATTTCCTTCCTGTATTTGTTCAGTTGCTTCACTTCACAGTACAAGGCAGATGAAACCATGAATATTCATTTAGCGATTAAAAAAAAAAAAGAAATAAGCTTTAAGTAAGTGTTTTGAAAGGGCTCAAGCTTAGGATACACAAATACTATGTTTCACTGTGCAGAGACAAAATATCCAGATTGGCTGTACAGCAAAACCATCATAATTAGAATAGGAAAAAAGCAGCAAAAATGGGGCTTCCTGTTCACATGATCTCAGTCATGCAAAACCCCAAGTAAAGGTGGTCTGAGCTTAATGGAAATTTGGCAGGAGCCTTTTTTCTTGTTGAGAAAAAAATTAACTGAAGCAAAATCTAGAAGTGGCTCCATCCTGGACTCCTGCAGGCTGTCTCCACACAGGCAGCACTACTTACTCCAATATATCTCCCAGCTCTGTGCTGGTTTAACACTTCACTACTTAAACCACCCTTGTTAAACCAGTTCTGCAAGTCCCCTCTAGGGCAGCACGGCCCCTGAACACCAGCTCAAAGTGTACAGGAATAAGGTGTGGAGAGACCATTCTCAATGCTTCAGTGCTATTATTGAAACCCTTTAAACACACTGCAGTGCTGCTGCTGGAAAAGTAAAGTAAAGTATGTTTTGTACAAGGATGTGTGAGGTTTTTTTTAAGAAGTTGTGCCAGAACAAATCTCATTAGAGATATTTGAGAAGCTAGTCCTGTCCTGCTCTAAGCACAATAAAGATGTATTTCATACCTAACCTGGGCATGGGTGAGATCGAATCACTTCTTTATCCCACAGTGGGATCAGCATTGTGCTGCCTCAGCTCACAGCTCCGTGCTGAAATCAGCACCTCCTTCAGCTGCAGCTGCTGGCCAGCTGAGAGCTCTGAGCCTCAGAATTCCACCTTTCAGGAATTAGAGCACAAATGTATCCCAGAACAAAGCCCAGCACGGCTGGGTACCAAGGGCTCGGGGTTTAAATTTTCTTGTTATGAAAGGAAATAAGTTTATGCAACTTCAGTATTAAAGTTTAATATCAAACAATTTGCTCATTGTTACCAATTTTCAATTACAAAACAGGGTCCAAAAAAATTCCATAAAATATGTTGAAGTGGCTGAACAGAGTTAAGCGTGTTCAGGCTGCGAGGGTAAATATCCATAACTTTTTGGTATAAATTATCTACAAAAACTGGTATAAACAATATTCCAATCTTAGTAGGGGTTCCATCTAGGGATTAGACCAATTTTCAAGGTGTTAAAGTTCGTTGCCGTTGACACATTTCTGCTGCTGCAGCCTGGCTTTGCGTTGTGCCTCCAGTTGTTTTGCTCTCAGCCACCTCTCCCTGGACAGCGTCGTCTGCCCCGCGCTGAGCGACAGGAACCTGGGGGAGCACAGACACAGGAGGGGCTTGGTCAGTGCCAGGGGGGACAAACCAACACAGCCCCAAACCCAAACAATGCAAAGTTAGTAAATAAAGGCATATTTAATATTATGGTTTACTTCTGGGACATTTTGCAATTTGAAACAAACCTACACAAATGAAGTCAGAGCTGATTCTTGTTTCAATCTGTCTTTAATGAGCAGTTACCAGAAGAATTCTTGCAAGCTTCCTGTTTCTTCTGGGGTCTGTGGTGTCTTCCAGACAGACACAACCATTTCTTAAGATCAAAACTAAGGAGTCCTAATTTCAAGTCTACATTTTATCTGGCTTAGTACGTGTTCACATGTGTTTTTATTGGCCCTACAAAGCCAGACAACTATTTACAGAGAAAAACCAAACAAATCTCT